ATAGATAAATATATTCGTATGTACATTAATCTACATATACGTATGTGGGCGCGATGGGCGTGGCAGTGGGCAACAGCGCTTGGCTCTCAAACTGTGTGTGGGAGAACTGCAAAAATGTGTGTTTGCTGTCTCCCTTTGARAGTGTGTGTGACTCTCTGTGAGTGTGTGTGTGTAAACACAGTGAGCCATAAAATTAATTTATTTTTATTATTATTGTTATTATATTTCTTTTGCTGCTTCTTCTGCGACTCTGCGACTTTGCGTCTCTCTATGCCTGTGCAGCAAATGTCAAATGGGTATATTGGTTTTATGCAACATCTCCTTGATGGTGTATCTATAAAAATGCCAGGCCTTAGCAGCTCGAATATTGACATTTGGGTATATCTGCTCTGTGTATATGGAGATCTAATTAAATTTGGTTTTCTGTTGTGAATACACATTGTAGGCGTGGCATATAGGAACTTGGGTTATACCATTTTAGTATAGAGTATATGTGGCATATATGAACTAGAATATCTAATTGGAACATGAGACTAGACAAGTTTTTATAGAGCAAATCCATAAAGCCAATATGGGAAGAGCAAGATCTCTAAATAATATAGCTACGCCTACGTTGAGGGCGTGTCAAATATAGATTTCTTCAGCAATTTAGCCTGCGATTATTAACCGAGCAAGCATTGTGCAGTCAGCTATGCTCATTCACGGAATTCTCACTTATTTTGTTTTATGTTTATTATTTCATTCCAATTAAATTCTTGCGCTCAAGTCGAGACCTATTATTATTATTATTTTTTTTTATGGTACGGCAACAACAACAACAATAACAATTTGTTATATGAAATGGCTTTTGTTTTTGTTTTGTTTTTCTTACATATTTATTTATTGTTGTTGTTGTTGTTGGCAACTTTTTGTTTGATTTTTTCTTCATCTAAATTTTCTTGCTTTGGCAACTTTTTATTTGTTTATTTATTTTATTGCTGTTGTTGTTTTTGTTTTGGGCCTTGATTTTTGGCTGTTTGAAAAATGCCAAAAAAAAAAATTAAATATATATAAATTTATAT